TCCTTATAAAGCTAGAGGGAGCCAGAAGGAGACTCAAGTACAGAAGAGAAGAAGGTGATTAGATGTTGGAAGCTGAGATTAATGAACTATGGAAACCAAGGGTAATCATCATTTAGATCCATCACACCTGTAACCTGCCTTCAATGATCAATCGCACATTATTTTTTACAAATGCTTGCATGTCCTCCAAGTGTCACTTAGCCTAAACAATAAAACATCTGCCTGAGTTGTTTTCCAGGAACTTAGAATCAGCTGTGTTGAGTTTGAGCTTGAGACAATTAAGACTGGTTAAGATCACCGACCGGGGACTTCCCTGGTGGCGCAGTGGTTAAGAACCCACCTGCGAATGCAGGGGACATGTTCGAACCCTGGTCCAGAAAGATCTCACATGCCATGGAGCAACTAAGCCCATGTCCCACAACTACTGAAGCCCAGGCGCCCTATAGCCTTAGAGCCTGTGCTCTGCAGCAAGAGAAGCCACTGCAATGAGAAGCCCGTGCACCACAACTAGAGAAAGCCTGCGTACAGCAACGAACACCAACGCAGCCAAAAATAAATTAAAAAAAAAGAAAAAAAAGACCACCGACCCTCCAATAGGGCATATGTTAGTGGCCACTCAATGACCTTTTGACATCAGAGGGCCAAAAACTCCACCGTCAGAGCATGCTAAAGCTGCCATTTTCTGAGCATGCATCCCATGAAGAAGCCTGTAGCTTAGTTTCTTCGGTGCATAACAATGATTATATCACCCTTTGTCTTGTCGCCAATTACCTTTCCCCATGCTCTCCATGCCTCAGTTTTATTGCATAAATATGGTGAGCCCCTTTTCTTTGGGGAGGCAGATTTGAGACTTGTTCTCCTGTCTCCTGTCTTGGCTGCCTTGTAAATAAAATCTTTCTCTGCTGCAAACCTTGATGTCTCAGCATTTGGCCTGCTGTGCATTAGGCAAACAAACTTGGTTCAGTAACACTATAAAGAAGGAGACAGGGACCACAAGTCAGAGAATACAGTCAGCTAAAATGGAATGAATTATTGCTCAGAGCCTCCAGAAGGAATCAACATGTTGACACTTTGATTTTAGTCCAGGGAAACTAATTTTGAACTTCTGGTCCACCAAAATGTAAGAAAATGAATTTGTGTTTTTTAAAGCTACTACGTTTGTGGTAATTTGTTACAACAGCAATAGGAAATTAATATAGGTACCACTCACTGTAAGGAAACAAAAGACCAAACAAACAAAAAATGGCCAGGCGCAGAACTGTACAAAATTGCAGGTATGTTGTGCCGAAGAGTACAGACTGAAGTCAAGTTAGAGAATCCAAATGGAACAATGAAAAATGGAAATCCAGATTTCCAGTATTTCAGACTGGTGCAAGCTACACAGAGAAAGCATTTGCAGTAGATTGAAATGGGTAAGTCAAAAATAACCCCGGAGCTGAGGGACAGAAAGCCACAGGGGCATAAAATGCCCCTGAGGTTTGTTTTCTCTTAAATCTAGTGCCTTAGTCAGATACATCTGAGAATACTTGTGAAAAGCTAAGTGGAGATCATCATCTGGTTCTTCAGGTTTCAATTAAACTGAACATATTTGTATTTCAAATATATTAAACGTATAATTAAATCATTATAACAATTAAAATATTGAAAAACTAGGTAAAAAGAATACTAATCATTATAAAACAATATTAATTTTAACTATTAGAAGTGGAATATTAAACATAATCTATAGCAATGAAAAAAGGAATTGAAAAACATTAAAGCAACATGAATTTTGAGATGAAAGAATTGGAGGCGTGAAGATAGATCATTAGTCTCCAGCCTTTATCTCTACTCTCTATAGTAAATATGCATAAATTACTCTTCAGGAAAAACAAAAACCAACCAACCAAACAAAAAACGTTGCAATTAATGAGAACTCTCTCCAAGGAATGCCCTGGCTAAGCATTTGGAAACTGACACTTGGACTTCTACTAGGTCCATGAAATCTGAATGCTAATGACTATGCACATGTTTACGTGTGTATGTATGTGTGTATGTTTAACCTGAAGGCTAATTGTCCTCCTCAGCTTCTCAAAGATGAATAAATAAAGCCATTCCAATACCTAGCAGAAACTTTCTACAATTTTTTTTATAAAAAATGATTTCAGCTTATGAGATTTTAAGCTATGATTTTAAAATCAGGTTAGATGTTTAGAATCATGACACTAAATCTGTAAAAGTTTAAACTGATAATTTTCAGGAACAGAACACATAATGTACACATCTAAAATCAAATATTCACATTTGGAAACAGAATTTTTTGTAGTTAGACAATCTTCAGCTGCAGATACAAGCACTTAAATGTTCTAAAGTCTGAGGAAATTGATTATTTTAGCTATCTTACTGAGTGAAAAGTGAAACAATCATAGTCCAACTGATAAAGGAGTAGTCTAAATCAATCTTTAACATGTTCAGAATACACTTCCAAGAAATAATTTCAAACTCCAAAAAGATGAGGTAAAGAGTGGCCTTTTTGAGGTCTCAATTGAATGACCAAGGTGCTCAGTGAGGTCTCTCCTCTCTGGTTGGGTGGGGACCTCAAAGACTCCCAGCATCTCACAACTCCTTGTCATTCACCTCTTGTCTCTGTAGGAAGAAATCTCTCCTCAGCTATGTGTAAGAAGATGATTTTACCTTTTTTTTTTTTTTTTTTAAATTGTTCTTTAGCAGATCTGATTCTTTGGCTTATAGTCTTCATGTTTATGTTTGTTTTTGATGCTTGGTGCCGGAGCATTTAAAAGTCACCTGATTTAAGAGTTTCATTTTGCAGGTGATGTCATTTGTTGCTCAGATAATTTCAGTGACTTCTATAAGGACACTAATCAAAGACCTTAGCCTAAGAGAATCTAAATCTAACTTCAGAGGGAGAGAAAGAAGAAATTACATGATACTCTCTAAAGTAGTAAATAAACTACTACAATTTACTCTAACACAACCAGGGCATTTGGATTTTTTTTTAATGAACACTATGTTCTCTTAAAATCTCAATCATTGATACTTTAATTATAATTATTTAATCCACAAGAGTAAATATAATAAAGTAAATTATAAATACTTTGCATCTCAAGCTGTCTTCAACATTTCAATGTTGTTTGCAGACAGTAAAATAATCATAGAACTCTTAAATTAAAATCTAAGTGTGAAATTTGTCACTCAGTTACACATTGTAAATAGAATTACCAAACTAAATTTTAAGAATTATAGCTAATTATCTTAATCATACTATTTTAATCCTAAGTACAGATATCATCCCTAACCAAAACCATATATTATTAATGTGTGTATGACTTACACCATCATCTCTGTATTTTATTCTAAACCTCTCCAGGGTTAAAAGACCCTGAACCTTAAGGCTATAAATACAACATTCTAGGTAAACTGGAATTGATACAAGTGATTTGAGGTTAACAGCTCGGGTTAGTGAGGCTACTTTTTTTGCCAGATAATGTTCATATCCCTGTGTTCAAGTTGTATCAATACTTAAGTCTTACGTTTGAGCTGGGAGATAAAGATGTCTAAGCCTCTCCCACACATGCACACATACTGAAAAAACTTAATCTTTATCATCTGGGCACATTTTATATTTTCCAGTGTTAGAATTTTAAGTTTCCTATTTGGCTCCAATAAGAGTTTGGTACCATTTCATTAGATTTTACATCTTTACATAATTCTGTGGCAATCCTTTTTTTTAATGATTTGATTGAGCACTATTCCCTCTTTATTTTCCATCAGTATAGATCACAACTCGTACTGGTATTAAAATGTCATCTGGATGATTTCTGGTATTTACCAGGGATTTATCTGGATCTGAAGTTACATATCTGTGTCACTAGAATAAAATATTTTATAAAGCCACTTCCTAAATATGAATTGTTTCTTATTTTGATGAGATTTGTTATCAACCTATTTACATTTCATCTATACTAGTTTCAAGGAGAAAAATGGATATATAGTTAGTTGAATTGTGTCTACACAACTATATGTTCATATATTCCATTATTTTGTCTTAAGAATTTCAAGGTTAACAGTTAAAGGAATGAAACTATAGGAATTAAAGAAAAAATTCTGACAAAGGTTATCCTTTCCAAAAGTTCTCAAAATAGTAATTTATATTAGCATACCAAAAAATATTGTACTCTGGAGATTTAATAACTAATAATCCTTTATCCTCTTACTAGTCACAAAGAGTAGAGAGATAGTGGGTCAGGTTAATAGAAATGTCTGCTTTGCGTTGAGAGGTGAAGGTGGGTGTTGGGCTGGAACCAAGAATTAAACTGACATAAGACAGATTAACAAGAGAAAAGCATACCAATTTAAGTTTTACATGACAGTAGAGCTCTCTTAATGAAGGCTGAAAGAAATGGCAAAAACCTAAATATTTTTAAGCAAAGGTGGAACAGACAGAGACAATTGTAGAAATGTAACTAAACTACGTGGAGCCTAAAGGAAGAGATTAATTATTTTAACAAGTTCTCTGATTTTCTCTCGAGTCTGACTCCCTGATAAAGTTTCTTTTCTCCATCTTTCTCATGGAGTTTTTAATCTCCTCTTTTCAGGAAGAAAAGAGGAGATTAGAATGTTCTTCTAGCATCTGCTATTTCTCAAGTGCCTTTAGCTCAAAATAATCCTTATGCCAAAGTGGCATATTTTTGGGTGGCGTATTCTGCCACCCTTCATAGGCTAATTGGAGAAAGTGGTTCCAAATTTGAGCATCTGAATATACACCTCCATCTTGAAGTTTGGAACAGCCCATCCTAGAAAAATATTGGTGTAAAAGACTAGATACATTTATGCAGGTTTGCCTTCTCACAGTAGTGTGGAGTAGAGGAAAAACAGAAAAGAACTCCTGTGAGTTTGCCATTTTTTCTGAGATTATTCTTTTATCATCCAACTCTCCTTTATTATATCTTATGCAATCAGTGACAACCTATTTTCTGACTTCACTCTAACTTCTTCCTTAGCTTTCCCAAAGCTTCATGTTTCCGCCCCAATGGAGACTGAGGATAGAAACTTGTATGATTGTGGGTAAGTTAATTTATTTTTCTATGCGTCGATTTTTATCTGTAAAGTGAGAAAATTAGTACCTCCCACCTCATAACGTTGGAATAAAAAGTAAATGAAGTAAATTATGTAGAAATTTGAAACACTGAATGAAACAAGGTAAGTACTCAATACATTAGCATTATTACTATTATCATTTCTTACTCTATTTTAACCTTCCAATTAAAAGGATTGAACTCTCTCTATTTGTTAAATTCCATCTAAATAAAAGCAATAAACATATCATATTTTTATATTAGTAAACATGACTTTTAGATGAAAATGGGCTTCAGTAAATGCTTAAGTGCTTAAACAATTTCAGACCAAGAAAATGACTACCAATGAAACTTCATTGCAAATCTCCACCAATATCCACCTGAAACTGATTTCTGTATTTTAAAGAACAGGTACCATTAGAAATAATAAAACTAATTCAACTTTTTACTTGAGATATGAGGGGAAAAAAATATATATATATATAAACACTCACTAGGAGATATTACACTGCCCAGACTGAATAAGTATCACAAATTTTAGAGCTTACACCTGAAAACAACTTTTCTGGACAGATAGAAAGCATTAATGAGCTTTTAATTACCATCTTAGTTTAAAACATGAAAACGTTCTCAACAATAACCTCAGTCCATGGCATATTACAAAGATTCTGGCAAGGTTATAAGCAAAGCAGAGAGGTTACATTTTCTGTGCCAGCTGTTTAGTTAGTGGACTATATTGTCCATATGGTCATAATTATCTCAGAACTATTTTTCCAACTACCTGGCTTCATGAAAATTATATCTTAAAATAAAATTAAAACAAGAGAAATCTTTTCAAAAAGTGCAATACAAATTTGCAAATCATCTATGTTCTCCTCCCTCTACTGCCCTATGCATTTGCCCTCTCTTTGGGGTCATTTTCATACCAACTACACCCTCTAGGATTCATTTGGTATCCTGTTTCTCTCCAGATGAGCCATTCTATGTTTTTGTATGGCTTCTTAGCATCTCTTCTGTGATCAAGAATTAGAAGTCTTTCTGCATGTAATAAATATGTCAGTTCTATATAAAATTGTAGTAGTTACATTGCATGTGTACCATTTTTCAAGTATGTTGCTAATCCTATTTTATATATTTTCTTATGTAATTATCACAACACAAGTACAAAGATATATTATTTTTAACCATATGAAACTGCCATTTCCTAAATCAAAAATTATTTAATATTGGCAGTTCATGTGTTTCACTTAATATTCTTATGACAATTTCAAAGATATGGAAGCAGATGCTTACAGCTAAATTACTCAAAGTCACTCTACTAAGCCTTTCATCCTAAATATAGATAAAAGTTCATGGTCTCTAGATCATTATGAGCAATGCCCAACTATTCCCAGTTTAATCGCATGAAATATTTTGTTACCTGGAATATCTAAGTATTTGGTAAACTTTTATAGGGATACTCATTGAAGTATAGTCTTTGTGGCAGACAGAATAATAGTTTCCTTAAGATGTCCAAATCCTAATCTCCAGAACTTGTGAATATGTTATCTTACATAGAAAATGGGACTTTGTAGGTATTATTAAAGTAAGGGTCTTCAATGGGGAAATTACCCTGGATTATCTGGGTGTGCCCAGTGTAATCTAGGGGGGAAGGGTGTTTGTTAGGGGGAAGCAAGGGCACAAAAGACAGTGAAAAGGTTATTTAATAATAGACACAGAGAGAAAGAGAGATGTTGGAAGATGCTACAGTGCTGGCTTTGAAGATGGAGGATGAAGCTACAAGCCAAGGAAGGCAAGTGGCCTCTAGAAACTAGAAATGATATGGAGACTGATTCTCTGTTAGATTCTACAGGAGTAATAGCTCTGACCTCCAGAACTGCAAGAGAATACATTTGTGTTGTTTCAAACAGTTTGTGGTAATTTGTTACAGCTGCAGTAAGAAATTTATACAGTCTGCTTATTCTGAATTTATATAATGATTTATAGGCACATTGAGATATTAAATTTCATCACTTGAATTCGATAGCCCACTATATGACACTATGACACAGATTCCTATAAAAATATATATAATAATAAATTTGAAGGTTAGACTAAGTGTTCAAGTTAATAACATAAATTACTTTTAGTTCAATTTATCCTGCTTCATAGATTTACAATTAAAGTAATCAAATAAAACTTTCAAACTAAAGCCACCATTTCTAGGCTTCAGTACAGACCAGCTTGAATAGATATAAATAAGAGACTATTCAAGCAATAAATTTATTGGTATAGTTCTTGTCTGTGTACTTTGAAGGCTTGTACTGGAAGGTGTGAAATATCTGGGTCTGATAAAGTGGCTTGTATAAATAGTGGAAATAAATTATGGCGAGAAAGAATTAATCTCCCACAGATTGACATAACCTTAGATGCAAGTGATATTTCTCTTTTATTTATATGCAAATTAGATGTTCCACTTGAATTTTAAGAATTTCTTAGTTATCTAATTGGCATTTCTTATGTTATCCGTTGATATCTGAGTAAGAAAAGAAAAACACTATTTATTCATTCATTTTAATATTGATCAATTTTGCACATACAGAAATTTGCTTAGGAGCAGTTTTACTGCTTAACAAGCTTTCTCAGTTTCTTCTTCAACATCTCAACATCCTGACATTTTATCAATCTATTTAACTTAGTCTTCCATTAAATATTCTTTATATTGTCAAATGCATTCCCTCTCTACTGTATCTCTCACTTTAATGCCCTTAAAATATGGTGAAATTATGACACGTTGTACATTTTCTCATCAATTTTCATCTTTCTTTTTAGACATTTTCTGAATAAAAACATTTTTTTGGCATGCCATGCTCAAGCTGAACTTAGAAAATCACTAAAGCTCTAACAGGAAATAACAGTAGAAACAGTCTAAATATTCTTGAGAGCAAATAAATGGATTACAAATGCCATGAAGCTAAAATAAAACAGAATTCAAAACCTTGTTAGTGATAAGGTATAGGTTTCTGGGAGCAAATTTATTTGAAAATTCATATATAACTGGTTGGGGTCTGAATTCAGCATAAACTAATTGGCTTACAAAAGAAAACTAGAAGAATATCCCCATGGGAATCATGGAATTCATACTGTTGCTTTTTTTTTTTTTTTTTTTTT